TTTTGAAGTTGAATGTAAAATGTAGGAAAAAGGGTATATTCGCTGGATTTTATTTTCATTGAATTATCCCGTCAGCGAAAGTTAATTCCAAGCGAAAAATAAAGTATTTTACAGTAATTGACATTGATGCATCCCATAATATTATTATGCATATATTACTGAGCTGCTGCTGATCATCTTTTCCGTCTGAAGCTCTCTTGATGTGAAATTAAAAACTATTAAAACTGTTTCCTTTATTAGCATGCCCAGAGTAAAGCGCCACGACCTAACAGCACCAGCACGGCGGTTTCTAAGCCAGGAAGCGGCGACAGTGGAAGCCGGTTAATGAACCATGCTGAATCTAACGGCGATTCTGAGATCATACATGAGTTAAGAGAAGAGTTGAGGAGCATGAAGGAAAGCATGGACGCATTGAGGCGAGAGTTTTTGTCGGAGATTGACGAGGAGAAAAAACAACGAATGACAATGCAAGTTGAGCTGGATCGGCTTAAGAAACTTGTAATGAAGTAGATAATCCGAGTGCGGCTTAATATAATTAATCCTCTTTAAACTTTGTGCTTCCTATTAAATAATCCACTTTATATGCAATTTCCACTTACACAAAATGATGGATTAGTTAGAATAGATTTGGAGAGGGGTAGTCAAGGTAGGCAGGTCTAGATAAGTATTACACAATAATTTGAATGCACAGTGTTGATACCAAAGATTTTCCTATAAAAGTAGCACCAGGGATTGCCTTGGCATTTTTGTGTAGTGAGTCCCAATGAGAAAATAAGTGAATTTATTATACATTGTGCCCCTGGGAAAGCAGAATATGGTGTTAAATCAATTCCTGGTGTGCACGTGAAGTTATGTTAATTATGCTTGTTGTCCAGCAATGGAGCAACTCTCACTTAAAGGTTAAAGGGACAGTGTCTTTGTCAGTGACATGAAAGATAGTATATGTTGAGGAAGTGATGAAGGTTAAAAACACCACTGACATCAGAACTGTGTATGTACATAGGGAAGGCTCGCACAACAATGTATCTTTACATTTAGATTACAGTCAACGTTTAGAGATCTGCTAAAAACTAGTTGTGCTTTTACATAAAAGTGAGTAATTTTGTGTCGTGCTGGTCAGTTGTTTGGCACATGTACAATTATGGAGACACTGTCCCTTTATGTGCGTAAAGTCTTTGGCTTAGTTAAGAGATGAAGCATTACGAGGTTATTATGAAAATACTGCAAAGTATGCAAAAAGACGGTGTGATAACGACGTGCAGTGTAGGTATGTTTTATTATACATCTATTCTTGCTTGTAGTCATAATGTAGTGAATTATAACAATCCAAAATGCCAGTGAAAAGTATTGAGCATTCAATGATTCAATGAAACTCTACATGCCTGGTCCTATGTTTATTTCAATGTGATCACGAAAATATCGCAAATTATGCACTTTGGCGGTAAAGGGAGCACTGACTATCGCTTGGTACCATCACTGCCTTTCTGCCTTTGCACAAACTTTGCGATATTCTCATGTTGACACAGAGGTCAACGCAACACTGTACACACCAGTTGTTCATGGTCCACACGTACAAGTCAATCAGTGGTGGTAACGACACTGGTGAATGAATCGCATGCACGATAAATTACAGCAGCAGTAGAGTATGCTTTCCCACAATGCAATACTACCTATACAAACTACACATGCAAACTGTATGATGTTGCATTCTGGGAACTGTACTAACTGCTCC